AAACACTTGGGCTGAAACCCAGCGGGCTCTTTCCACGGGCGTGTCCTCGCCAACCTCCGGTCCCACTGATGCCACCTGATGGGGTTGTGCCCTCAGAAACGATCGGATGATGCTCCCACAACTGAGCCTTGCTCTGGGGAAGGTCCCGCCAGCTGCTGGAGGATCGGGGGCTGCGCTGTGCCAGCCGCCAGCTCTTGTTGCCCCTCTCTCGGAGTCCCGGGCTCTGCGCGAGGTTGGAGAGCAGCTCCACGGGTGGGGAAGTGGGAGAGGGTTTGTGTTGGGGTTGCCCCAGCGAAGGGGATGGGCTGGAAAGGAAGGGCCCTGGCAGGGGTGGAGGTGTCTTGCACATCAAGATAATGTTTTTGGGCTGTGAAGTGTCTTCCCAAGGAAGAGAGCTTTACCAGAGAGCCGGGGAAAGGTGGAGAAACCCAGGCTGTCCCTGACCACTGTCACGTGGGGTGCAGTGAACACAGGAGCTGGATTTAGCCCAGAGAATGTTCCTAGAACCCCCTGGAGCTGCAGTTCAGGGTGTTGGGAGCAGGATGTCTCTACTGCCTGTAGACACAGCCTGAGCTCTGGTGGAGACAGGCAGCAACAGGCTGATTTGCAGGTGAAAACACAAATCTTTAAAGGGAGCTAAGCCAGACTCTGCCCAAAATCATCCCTAAGGAGCCATCCCAGTTACAGGGTGAGGTCCCGAGACTAGATTGAGCTATGGGATTAAGCACTGGGCTGCCTGGATGTCCTCACTGAGGTCTCTCAGCCTTCCAGTTTCACTCTCTCTGGCTCACCGGCCATTTCTTCGCCGTGTTGACCTTCGGGTGGCTGCTGACAACCTGGTTTTACTTTCCCTGCTAGTGGTACTGGAGAGCAGAGCTGCTGGAGACCATGTGTCCAGAAACACAGTGCAGGGGAGGAAAGCCCAAGGAGAGCACAAAAGCCAGCAGAGCTGCCGGAGCAGAGAAGCTTTTGCAGGGGCAACGGGAGGATTTGGACCTCGTTTTAAGGCAGGTTTTTTTTTAAAAAACATTTCGCTTCGATCAATTCAGATTCACTTCCCCAGGAAACGCATCCGAACCAAGTGTGCAAAACCTCCCACACGCCTCGTTGTGGAGGGCACGCTCCTGATCCAGGCTGCTGCTCTGGAGATAAACCGAGCTGCTCCGGAGGTTTGGGTGCAGCGGGGCTGAGAAGGAAGCAGGATTCTGCGTGGAGGCATGAATTCCTCGCTGAGCGCTAGGGTGGACCCAGCTGGGATAAATCTGTTCTGCTGCATCAATTTATCCAAGCTGGGGAGGCCACCGCGGTGTGGGCTTGGGGTGGGTTTTCTTGCTTGTTCCCAGCACAGATGGGACGAGGAAGTGAGGGTTTCCTGGTACAAGCGTTTCTCTAAAGAAACCTCCCGCTGCGATCAGAGCCTCGCGTGTGTGCGCTCTGCCCTGGGCCGCCTGCCAGCGCGGAGTGACGCAGAGGTGGCCGGGGAGGTTTGGCAGGGAGCATCCGAGGAGAGAGGGGAAGCAGGAGGAGGGCAGACGCCGTGCACGAGGTCCCCGGAGAGCTTGTCCTGGTGCGAGGGACGGCAGCGGTTTCCCAGTGAACAGCTTTCCAGTGGCACAGGGATCCTAGGGACCGATGGGCCGTGTCCACGCCCTGGCGTGAGCCCTGCTTTCCAAGCCTCCTGCCCCATGCTCAGAGGCCTGAATGGCCCCTTCAACCACTGAGAAAAGCACGACAAAGTTGTTGGAAAGGTGATCAGAAAAGTAGATCTTGGTAGAGACCAATGTCTGTTCGGGGGCGGGTGGCTGGGGCAGAGCAGCTGGCGCTGGTGCGGG